TCCCTGATCTTAGTGGGATTGCTTCAAGTTTCTCTTCATTTAGTTTGATGTTGGCTACTGGTTTGCTGTAAATTGCTTTTACTATGTTTAAGTATGGGCCTTGGATTCCTGATCTAAGACTTTTATCATGAAGGGGTGTTGAATTTTGTCAAATGCTTTTTCAGCATCTAGTGAGATGATCATGTGTGTTTTTTTTTCTTAGTTTGTTTATATAGTGCATTACATTGATGGATTTCTGTATACCTGGGATAAAGCCTACTTGATCATGATGGATAATTGTTTTGATGTGGTCTTGGATTAGGTTTCTGAGAATTCTATTGGATATTTTTGCATCGATGTTCATAAGGGAGATTGGTCTGAAGTTCTCTTTGTTTGTTGGGTCTGTGTGTGGTTTTGGTATCAGCATAACTGTGGCTTCATAGAATGAATTTGGTAGTGTTCCTTCAGTTTCTATTTTGTGGAACAGTTTATAGAGAATTGGTATTAGGTCTTCTTTGAAGGTCTGATAGAACTCTGCACTAAAGCCGACTGGTTTCGGACATTTTGGGTGTGTGTGTGTGTGTGTGTGTGTGTGTGTGTGTGTGTAGACTTTTAATGACTGCTTCTATTTCTTTCAGGGTTATGGGACTGTTTAGATGGTTTATCTGCTCCTGATTTAACTTTGGTACCTGTTATCTGTCTAGGAAGTTGTCCATTTCATCCAGATTTTCCATTTTGGTTGAGTATAGGCTTTTGTAGTAGGATCTGATGATTTTTTAAAAATTTCCTCAGTTTCTGTTGTTATGTGACCTTTTTCAGTTCTGATTTTATTAATTTGGATACTGTGTCTCTGCCCTCTGATTAGTCTGGCTAAGGGTTTATCTATCTTGTTGATTTTCTCAAAGAACCAGCTCCTGGTTTTATTGATTCTTTGTATAGTTCTTTTTGTTTCTACTTGGTTGATTTCAGCCCTGAGTTTGATTATTCCTGCTGTCTATTCCTCTTTGGTGTGTTTGCTTCTTTTTGTTCTAGAGCTTTCAGGTGTGTTGTCAAGCTGCTAATGTATGCTCTTTCCAGTTTCTTTTTGTAGGCACTTAGAGCTATGAGTTTTCCTCTTAGCACTGCTTTCATTGTGTCCCATAAGTTTTGGTATGATGTATCTTCATTTTCATTAAATTCTAAAAAGTCTTTAATTTCTTTCTTTATTTCATCTCTGACCAAGTTATCATTGAGTAGAACATTGTTTAGTTTCCGTGTGTATGTGAGCTTTCCATTGTTTTTGTCATTATTTAAGACCAGCCTTAGTCCATGGTGATCTGATAGGATACATGGGTTTATTTCAATCGTCTTTTATCTGTTGAGGCTCCGTGTGTATGTGAGCTTTCCATTGTTTTTGTCGTTATTTAAGACCAGCCTTAGTCCATGGTGATCTGATAGGATACATGGGTTTATTTCAATCTTCTTTTATCTGTTGAGGCCTGTTTTGTAACCTATTATGTGGTCTATTTTGGAGAAGGTACCATAAGGTGCTGAAAAGAAGGCATATTCTTTTGTTTTAGGGTGAAATGTTCTATAGCTATCTGTTAAATCTGTTTGGTTCATAACTTCTGTTAGTTTCACTGTGTCTCTGTTTAGTTTCTGTTTCCATGATCTGTCCATTGCTGAGAGTGGGGTATTGAAGTCTCCCACAATTATTTTGTGAGGTGCAGTGTGTGCTTTTATGAATGTGGATGCTCTTGCATTTGGCACATAGATGTTCAGAATTGAGAGTTTGTCTTGGTTTACTTTTACTTTGATGAGTATGAAATGTCCTTCCTTATCCTTTTTGATAGCTTTAAGTTGAAAGTCTATTTTATTCGATATTAGAACGGCTACCCCATCTTGTTTCTTAGGAGCATTTTCTTGAAAAATTGTTTTTCAGCCTTTTACTCTAAGGTAATGTCTGTCTTTGTCACTGAGGTGGGTTTCTTGTATGCAGCAAAATGCTGGTTCCTATTTATATGTCCAGTCCATTAGTCTATGTCTTTTTATTTGGGAATTGAGTCCATTGATGTTAAGAGATATTAAGGAGAGGTGATTGTTGCTTCCTGTTACTTTTGGTATTAGTGGTAGCATTGTTTGTGTTTCTATCTTATTTTGGATTTGTTGGAAGAGGATTACTTTCTTGCTCTTTCTAGGGTATAATTTCCCTCCTTGTATTGGAGTTTTCCCTTTATTATCCGTTGTAGTGCTGGTTTTGTGGAAAGATATGATGTAAATGTATTTTTGTCATGGAATATCTTGGTTTCTCCATGTATGGTAATTGAGAGTTTTACTGTGTATAGTAGCCTGGTTTGACATTTGTGTTTTCTTAGGGTCTGTATGACATCTGTCCAGGATCTTCTGGCTTTTATAGTATCTGGAGAGAAGTTTGGTTTAATTCTGATAGGTATCACTTTATATGTTACTTGACCTTTTCCCCTTACTACTTTTAATATTCTTTCTTTGTTTTATGCATTTGGTATTTTGATTATTATGTTACGGGAAGTATTTCTTTTCTGGTCTAGTCTTTTTGGGGTTCTGTAGGCTTCTTGTATGTTTATGGTCATCTCATTCTTTAGGTAGGGAATTTTTCTTCTATAATTTTGTTGAAGATATTTACTGGCTCTTTAAGTTAGGAGTCTTCACTCTCTTCTATACCTATTATCCTTAGGTTTGGTCTTCTCATTGTGTCCTGGATTTCCTGGATATTTTGGGTTAGGAGCTTTTTGCACTTTGCATTTTCTTTGACAGTTATGTCAGTATTTTCTATGGTATCTTCTGCACCTGAGATTTTCTTTTCTATCTCTTGTGTTCTGTTGGTGATGCTTACATCCTTGACTCCTGATTTTTTTCCTAGGTTTTCTATCTCCAGGGTAGTCTCCCTTTGTGATTTCTTTATTGCTTCTTCTTCTCTTTTTATGTCCTGGATGGTTTTGTTCAATTCCTTCACCTGTTTGGTTGTATTCTCTTGTAATTCTTTAAATGATTTTTGTGATTCCTATTTAAGGGCTTCTACCTGTTTACCTGTGTTCTCCTCAATTTCTTTGAGAGTGTTATGTTCTTCTTAAAGTCCTCTATCATCATTATTAGAAGTGATTTTAAATCTGAATCTTGCTTTCCTGGTGTGATGCGGTTTTCTAAACTTGGTATGGTGGGAGAACTAGGTTCTGAGGATGCCAAGTACCCTTGGTTGTTGATTCTTATGTTCTTGCACTTACCTTTTGCCATCTGGATCTCCTTAGTGCTACCTGTGCTGCCTCTGACTGGAGCCTGTCTTTCCTATTTTCTTGGTTGTGTCAGGACTGTTTGGGGTGGATGTTGCTGCTGGGGTTAGAACTGAAGCCCAAGATCTGCTCAGTGCTCAGTTGGAGACTGAAGGAACCAGTGGCCTGAGCCAAGAGTGAATTCCTGGGTCCCAGTTACTTCCTGTTTGGGGTGGGTGTTGCTGTCTTCTTACCTGAGATACTGCTCAGGTTAGAGCTCCTGGAAACCCTGCCTCCTCTGGGTTTTGTGGGATTGGGTGCAGAACTGAAGCCCAAGATCTGCTCAATGTTTGGGCGCAGAGCTGAAGGCTAAAAAATGCATTTTATTAATTATTTTGTGCATGTATATGTGTGCAGACACATGCTTGTCACAGTGTATGCATTTAGCTCATAAGACAACTTGGGGGACTCGTGTTTCTCCTTTCTTTATGTTTGTTCTGGAGATTGTATTCAGGTTATCAGGCTTGATAGCAAGTGCCTTTGTCTATTGAGCCATTTCTCCAGTTTCTTGGGTGAACTTCTGAAAGGTATTGCACAGCATGGATGCTGAAAATTATATTGCCTTTGCAGATGCATATTGCACTGTGTATCTTTGTGTGTCATAGTGTGCAGAGTTAGTGTGAACTCTTCAGGTTCCTCAAAATACTTATGTAAAGAGATCTCAAACGTTCAGAAGTGCATAAAAAAATGCAGGTCTTGGCTTCCTAGATACTTCACATAACTTCTCTTTTAGCTGATGTTTTAAAGATATTATTCAAAACCCTCATGTAGGTGGGATATAGGTATGAGTGCACTAAGAGTCTTTCATGGAGCTATAGAAAGTAGAAAGTAAAATACAACTCCTGAGCCTGGAGTTTATTAACTGTACTGTCTTGGCTGTGAAACTTAATCCTTGAAGGGATGTAGTGAACATCAGGCATGCTGTTCATACAGTTGTCTAGTGTAAGCTCTTTGATAATGAATAGTCTACACAGAATATGAAGAACCATGGTGAAAGCACAGCTTAGTAGTATATCAGAATTTGTCACGTGCACATAAGGCACGCCACAGGAACACTCTACCCCCTAAAGGAAAGTGGAGCATGTTGCAACTACAGATCTAATATTCTTAAGGGTAAATGCTTCGTTTTCAGCTATAATTGTCTTTCTAAATTGAAAGCCTGCTGTAGAGGGTGGAGAGATGGCTCAGAGGTTAAGAGTATTTACTACTCTTCCAGGAGACTAGGTTCAATGGTCAGAACTCACATGGGGGTTCTCAAATGTCTATTTTTCTTGTTTCAGGGAATCTAGCACACACTGTATCCTCTATGAGTACTCTATGTATATGATTCCAAGACATACATGCAGGCCAAACAACTACACACATAAAATAAAAAATTAAAAACATAAAAAATCCATTGTGTAACAAAAAGAAAACATATGGTGTGTATGTTGTTTTTTAAAAAAATGATCAGTTACCATGCAGATCACCTTCAAGTATGACAGGCACATGAACCATAATCTGATTTTGTGTGGATAGTCAAATTTCCATATTGGTTGGTCTGTTCATTTAAAGATACTGGTAATATCAAGGTTTTGGCACATTGAGTATGAGAGATTTTAACAGGATAAATAGTAGGAAAATAATTGAAATCTGTTTCTAGAGACAGTATTTCTGTATAACTGTATAGTAATGATTGAGTAAAATCATAAAAAATTTCTCTGAATTCATTATTTCAAAATAATCCATTTTATGCAGGTGATGCATTCCGGGGCTTCGGAGAAGATGATAATCAGAACACAATGCCTTTCAGCACCTCAGATGTCGATAATGATGGGTGTCGCCCTGCTTGCCTGCTCAATAGTCAGTCAGTGAAGAGCTGCAGTCACTTGCATAAAGACACTGGCTGGTGGTTCAACCAATGTGGTCTCACAAACCTAAATGGCATCCATCACAGTCCTGGCAAACTGGGTGCAACTGGAATTCAGTGGGGCACATGGATCAAAAACAGCTCAGTTGTCAAGATTAAATCTGTCTCAATGAAAATTAGAAGAACTTTACAACCCAAAGTTTAAGTAATTGTATTTTAAATTCTAGTGCAATTTCCATAGTTATTTTTGAAAACATGTTAAAAGTTTTTACATAGAATCTTTTAACCTAGAGTTTAATATTTTAGCCACAAGATGTGTATAGATGGCATGTTAGTGTTATGGTTTAATTAGTAAACTTCAATTTTGTAGCATTTTATAAAAGCAATCATGGCACATCATGGTGTATTTCCTATTTGATTATACTAACATCATGTGATTGTTTGCAAGTTGCATAGTTTTTAAAAGGAAATTGACTTTTCTTTTGAGCATATAAATTATAGTAAGCTGTTAGGAAAACTGAGAGAATCTTAAATACTTCTATATCCCGATGCTTGCTTATGTAATTTACACATAATTTCTGTTGAAGACAACACCACAAGGTTAAAATTTTTATCAAGTGATGCCACAATATTTTAAAACTGGTAAGAATTTGCTGCTAAAATAAAATCCTTCATATTTTATCATGAATAATAATGGTTTTTATTTGTAGTATATTTTCTATACATATGTTCTGATCAGTTACACTCTAAAACACTTGTATTTTAAATCTTTTTAATTTTTAATTCTTTAAAAAAATTTACTTGGTAGCTCAGCCATGCCTAGAACTATTATATGGCCCATGCTGTCTTCGAACTAACTCACCATACAGCTAAGGCTGGCCTGGAACTTGTGAGCAATCCTGTTTCAACTTCTTGAGTGCTAGGATTATAGGTATGAGATACCACATCTGGATCTTGTCTCTTTTTAATCCAAGCACATGATCTGTAAGTGAGGTACGTGGAGAACATGATGAGGCAATGGTCTAGACATGCTTGGGAGAAATCCCATTTCTTCATGTATTCTGAGTTAAAGGATATGGATGGTAAAGATTCTGTCAAGAAGACAGCAGGGAACATTCTGGACCAGGAATCAGTGATGAGTGAAGTAGGTGTAGGGAAAGTAGAAAAGGGCAAACTATTTTTTTTTTAATTTGATGTAACACAATACAAGAACTTTTCTTATAAAATAGGTATGTCAAGAGTAGCAGTTGACCTAATAATACAACTAGTCAATAAACAGAATTGTGTCATTAATTATCACAAAATTTATACCTGTTTTACCTAATATTTGCAAGAAGCTGAGAAATGAGATCATCCATGTTGTAATTATTTAAAATCGGCCTCTGATCAAGCCGACAATTTAAGCTGCGGCGGCTCTGCCTAGCTCAGCTGCCATGTTCTGTGGCCAGAGGCCATGTGCGCATTGCAGCTAGAAATGGCCAGCTGGAAACACCAGCCCTGCCACCCACGAGATGCCAGCGTGGGAGATGGCTCTGCCAATCTTCCACACTGTCTCCGCAAGGCTGGGCAGTGCCCAGACCATTCCGCCATCTATGCAGTCCTGGTAAGAGAATGAGACTCTAATTCTTATAGATTAATCAAAGGCTTTATATGTTTAGTAATGATTAATAACAAGATACCCACCCATACAAAGAGAGTTGTATCCCAATTAGCTAACATAATTATAAGCTGTTCCCCATGACTGCTCTCCATACCTATGTAGTTCTCCATCCTCCTATATCTCTGCTCTCTCCAGCTCCTCCTCTTCCTTTTCCTCTTCCTCTCCTAACTCCTCCCACCTTAGCTCCTCCTACACATCCATACCTTTGTAATATAAATTGATGCAACCTTGCTGAAGGAGTAGTCAGAGGAAATAGCTTATCTATCTTGATTTTATGTGTCACATCTACACACATGGCATGACACATAAAATGTCATCAGAGATGACATTTAGTGTGTGCTAGGTATCTGACATGACATGTCATGCATGGATCTCAGTTCTTAGAAAAGTTCTATGAAGTTAGAGTGATCGAGGCAGTTGAACTATGTGCAGACACAGCAATATCACTTATGTTAGTGATCCGGAATTGAAGCACAGGTTTCACCTCCTTGTCCTTTCCACTGAAACTCTTGTGAGGTGGGTGATGTAAACACTCACATATGTATAGTCCTGTTCTTATCTGTTTCTCACTATGCTGTGCTATCATTCATTGAATGTTCTTCTTTATAAAGAATAAATTGATCTTTAATTCCATTATGAAATAACTTTTAAATGATGTTGTGAAGGAAAAGTTTAGAAAGGCATGTGCTAATATGATAGTTGATTGGATCAACTTGAATCGGGCTTGCTTTGATGGTCCCCGTGGCCCACTATTCATGGAATGATGTGAGAGGGTCACGGGACATGTGCCTCAGTTTTAAATAAGCACACCTCAGAAGATTTGCAGAAGCAGATTGATAATGTAAAAAAAAATGCAAGAGGCTACCTTTAGTTTAGTGTAGTGATGCCTTTGTTTTTGGTAAATGCTGAATTTAAGAAATCAAATATCCTGTGACACTTGAGAATTCAATGCATTACACAGCTGTAAAGAGGCTATAGACATTTAATTTTCCACAAATGTGAAAGCAATTTCATTCAGTCAGCCTAGGCTTCTGAAACAGCAATAAATGGCATGATAAAAACTTTGATTACTTTAAGATTGTATACATTTTCTAAAAGCACAATTTGAAAACATTTAATCTTTAATAATATTGTAGTTTCATACTTGTATGTACCTGCTATTATAAAAAGCATGGATGATCCACAGAGAGCCCAAAGTAATACCCATCATAGACTTAGTAACACAGGAATAATGAGAGTAGCCGATAGCCTGGGAGTTAAGTACTTTATCAGACTTCTACCATACATATGTGCATGCAAACACCAGACCTACTGCTGTCCAGACAGATCTAAGTTTGGAAGTGAGAGTGGTTAAAATCAGGAGATACCAAAGAAGTGTTTGTAGGTTAATCATTCACTGCTGTTTTGGTCAATAAGCTTTAACTGGAATGCAGCCATGGCTATTCATTTTTGTTTGTATCTTTTATGCTTTTATGCTTCAAGTGTAGAGTTGAAGAACACTCGTTGAGACTATATGCATTCTAGAGGGGGTACTGTCATATCTCTTTTATAATGATGAGGAGTTAGACAAGCCTTTGATTAGATTTACGATAAGAGATGGGAAGAGGAGCCATCAGTGATTAAGGTTACTGGGCAAGGAAGGGCTCTACACCTCTCTCTCCATAGATATATAGTTGGATCTTGCTGGAGAATCCCAGGATATGCTATAAGGACTTGTCAATCTCAGCCTGGATTTCAAGTCTTATTCCATAGCAAAGTTACACTTGCCCAGTCTCTTCTTTTTTTCTTTTTTTCTTCAAGGGGTCCATCTCTTCCCCGAGTATGGCACATCATACACTTAGCTCCAGAGGCAAGTTACAGACATTTAAGATTCTTTTCAAGATTAGTTGCTATGATTTTGTGGTATCTTCAGAAAGGCTTGCTTGCAATTAAGATTCAGTAGGTTTTTTACAGAGTTGGCTGTGACTTCTAGAGAATGTTCCTGGACAGTGGCAAATGACTTCATCGGGTTGTTTTGTATATTATTTTCCCCCTGATACCAATAGAATTGGCTTTAAGTTCTTGGACATTAAAAAAAAATAGCCAGCATTCAAATAGGCAGCCTATATAGTATACACACACACAAATAAGGATAAGCTTTTCTGAAGGTCAATGAGTTCTATGACTTGGTTCTGTTCTAATCTGGGTTTAAGGGACTCAGGCTGGTGAACACAGAAAGGTAGGCCTTGTTATTGCTATAACACTGAACTGGTTCTGAAGAGTCAGAATTGTTCATATTGGCACTTCTTTGGCCTTAACCTCTCCCTTCTCCTGTTAATGTCTTCAGGTGGAAGTTTTACACTGAAATAAAAGTTAGATTTGTATTTCTTTTGATTCTGGAGAAGTTTGACATGTTAGGTCTTGGGATTCCTCTGTGTTCAGCTAAAAGTTTTGGATCTCCCAGTTCCTAGTTTTCCATATATGTGACTCTTGTGTGATCCTCCTTGATGATTCCTTACATGGATGCTCATTTTAGCCTTCTGTATGGAAAGCACCCAGATTTAGTCATTAAAAACAAATGTGATGTAGATGGAAAAAACTGTCCATGGCTATTAACTGCTATTCTAATTTGAAAGCAGTTGTATTTGTGTTTGAGGAGAATCTATCCATCCTTGTTGTTCTTTGCAGAGTAAGTAGCCACGATCCCCAGAGACATGAGGGGAAAGTGGCAAGAGGCTTGGACTCATGCTCAGCAAAGCTTTAAAGAAAGATGGGAGAGAGTGAACCTGGGTGATGGTAATCAATATTTCTGTGAGTATCCTGTGCATATTTTAACAATTAAAGTTCTTAACCTTGCACATCTAGGTTTTGAAGAGTTCCTGTCAGATTTTAAGCACAGTAAGCTTTTGCACTGCATGAATGGAAGGTGTTTGACAAAAGGTAGGTGAAACCCCTGTTTTAGCATTGCTGTTCTCAGGCAGATACCGGTAGGACCCATTTTCTTTGCTTGCAATGTTTGGGATGGTGCCTGAGGAGGTCCATGGCAAGGGGTCTACTATTATTCAGTGCACTCAAATAATATACTGCCTCCCTGATGGCCTCTCATGACTAACTCCTCCTCCTCTTCCTCCTGTTCCTGCTCTTCCTCCTGCTCCTCCTGCTCCTCCTCCTCTTCCTCCTCTCCCTCCTGTTCCTCCTCCTCCCCCTCTTTCTCCTCCTCTTCCTCTTCCTCCTGTTCTGGAATGAGATAAGCTTTATTCTGTGTTTTAATTTTTTTCCACATAACATTTTTATTGATTCTCTGGGAGTTTCACATCATGCACCTCAATCACAATTCCTTCCTGGTGCTTCCATGTCCACCAACTCCTTGCAACCTTCCATCCTAAAAGAAGTAAAAACTAAAAATAAGAAAAATAAATCTACTTTGTGTTATCTTTATTCTCACTAGAGCACTGTTAAACTCTCAATGGCCTGCCCCTTAGATGGAATTGAGCCTTCTCTTCCCATACCTCCACCAGAAGCTAGCAGTTGTGGAGAGTTATCTTCATCATCTCAATTACACTTTC